AAGGCAAGTGCTCTTGCCTGCCTGTTTCTTCCCATGCAGCAGACAAAACCAGACCCATCAGCAGAAGGAACCAAAAAGTTTAGGAGACAGCATCTCAGGGCACAGTATGATGATGTTCCCCAAGAGAACACACTTATAAAGGCTGCCTTATATCCAGCTATAAAAGAGGTCAGATAAATGCTATCCCCAGACCCCATTTAAGAACTCATGACTTTTAGCCAGCTGGATTGCATGCCTGTTATATAAAAGAGCACCAAACTCAGCTTAAGGACTCCGAAATGAAGACTTAGAGAGCTCTATGCCTCTACTCTCACACCGGTGTATTATAAATCTATTCTTTCTTTCTTTCCTTCTCCCTACTCATAACCTCTGTTTAGTCTACGGCAGGCATACACCAGACACTCTCACAGCTATTCAAACAATTTCTGAATGGTAATAATAAAAATGACCAGCAGCTTGTCAGCTTTGCGCTGCAGCTGCTGAGGAAGTCTATTTGTAGATGCAGGAACTGCTGATTAACATTAGCACACTGTATATCCTGAAAAGTTGTGCAGAGGCTAGCAACACAGTATTTTTTCATTAATAGTGAAAGTGTTTGAGATTAAAAGGAAAACCATCTATCATTTTAAAAATTATGAGCCTCTGTTATGGTTTTACTGTTTAAAGAAGCACAAATATGAACATATGTTCAGCACTAGTCCTTCCACTGATGCAATCTGATAGTTAAATTCAAGTCAACCTCATTCACACCAGGTCAAATCAATAACGAACTGGCTTCTCAGTGTTCAAACACATTAAAAATTCAATGAAACAACAATCCTATAATCACAGTTGGAACTCTTATAAGCACAAAACTCCTTTTGATTGAGAGGTCTAATGTGTGTATTTGGCTGATAACCTGAAAAACTATGATTTGCTCTGCATGCCTTTTATAACGAGCCCAAAATTCTCTGAAACAAACTGCACTCATGCTTGGCACAACAAAATGGAAGTCTGAACTTCCTCCTTGTAAACCGAAATATGCAGACTGTGTTGAATTTTCAAATTCAAGTGACTATTTGAACCTATTATTTTCAAACCATTTCACAAGAATAACACAAAATAATTAGTGACAGCATTTCAGAACAAGCAAGTCTACCCTAAAACCTTTCAAGAGAAGAAAATCTGGGTCTCACACAATGACTAGGAAAAACACTCTGGAATATATATAGTAAATCTAAAGTTCCCCTGTGGAGATGTAACACTAAATGTCAGTTAAAATTTAACTTGAAATCATAAGTTATGTTTAGCACAAAATCTAACTTTTAAGTTGGAAAAATAGATTTCCAGAGACAGGATTTTATCATAAGCTTCTATGTAACAAGCTCCCCATGTATATTGCTGATGGACATCAAACGATACTGCTTACAACTGCTGCCATGCTCAAACCTAGTAGCAGATTTAGACAACTAAATGATACACTGATAACTATCTGAGTGGGTAAATATGTAACTAAAGGGGTTTCTGCAAATAAGATAATTATTTCATGTTATCAGTGAAACAAATTCAAATATAATCCTCATCAGACTATTTCTGATACTCAGATCTTCCAAAAACCAACACACGAGCCAATATGCTTCATACCTGACTGTAACGCAGGCAAAAAGTTATTTCAAAACCCACATCTACCAAAATTCTCCAGTGAAAGACAAAAATATTAATTTGGCCCTCATCAAACTGATAGCCTCTCTACAGTAGTTTCAGTAACCTATTTCTATGCAGAATACTGAAAACAAGAGAAAGATATTCTGCTATGTTCATAGAATCATAGAACAATTCAGGTTGGAAAAGACCCTTGGGATCATCGAGTCCAACCATTGACCTTACACTACAAGTTCACCCCTAAACCATATCACCCAACACCCCACCTAAACGACACTTGAACACATCCAGGGATGGCGACTCAACCACCTCCCTAGGCAGTCTATTCCAGTGTCTGACCACTCTTCCCATGAAGAATTTCTTCCTAATGTCCAGCCTAAACCTGCCCTGTTGCAACTTGAAACCATTCCCCCTGGTTCTGTCCCTAATTATCTGTGAGAAGAGACCAGCACCAACCTCTCTACAATGTCATTTCAAGTCACTGCAGAGCATGATGAGGTCCACCATCAGCCTCCTCTTCATCAAAATGAACAGACCCAGCTCCCTCAATCGCTCCTCGTAAGGTCTGTTCTCCAAGCCCTTCACCAGGTCAAAATGAAGACTCGTTACTGTGAATACTTAAGGATATTAACCAGAGTCCTTGAAGCCCTTCAGTTCTCAGAAATGTTGCAGTCAGCATGATGAAGAACTGGTAGCAAGAATGTTTTCGGTGCTCCGACCTAAATTAAATGCCATGAAACAGACCATTGGATCTGCACCAATTTTAAAAGTTTTTAAATAGCTTTAATCTATCATTCACACACATAAAATTCTGCATGCCTGTGAAAAGAATGGAAATCATAACATCTGTACACACAGTACTCTTACGGAAGCAATGCTTCCAACTGTTAGATCAGCTTGTTCTGTACTTTTCTTTAATGGAAATTACACTTGGGAAAGCAAAGCCATTGTTTAACAAGTAAGGCTTCTACAACACTGCCAACATAGGCATCCTCTCATTCCTAGTCCTAACATGGCCATTCCATTGTGATAGCACTTTATTTGTAGGGCCACGTCATGGAGTGAGTAACTAATTTAATTTACAACTAACCCAAGAAAGAAATGGTTGGTTTAAACTCCAGTCAATTCCATTTCCTCCTCTGCCACACAAACTTCAAAACACTTGTCCCAGCAAAACCAAGCAGATGCCACAAAGGAAGAGCAAATGTTTGCTGAACTATGGTTTGAGGAACTAACCATTACACTATAGAGACTCAGGTTCTAATTTCATCAGCAGTACCTGTGGAAGTAGAGGTCCCCAACATAAACTGCTCACTTCCTTTGCTGTAGTAAATTAGACCAGGAGGTGACTCCCAAATTAAAACTATCTGATCAATAAACCAAATTATGAGTATTCCCTCACTCAGATCACTGCATAGCCACAGAAAAAAGGAAGCACACAATCAAGAAAAAAAAGAGGGAAGAGCTACCCCGAGTTGCTCTGCCTGCTAGAGAAAATGAACAAGTAGATATTGCTGCAGTTTTGCCAGCCTTCCACTACCTACATTTTTTTTTTCACAAGACCTGTGCACTGTGCCTCATCTGCTTCCCTTAATATTTTTCCATTAACTGTGTGAAGAATGCTGCTGCATTTCCACCTCTTAAACTTCCAGCTTTGACTTTTCAAAGGTTAACATACTTGAGCATCACAGCTGGCTTGTCTTCATAGTTTAAAAAGATAAAATGTTTAGATAGTTGATGTCTTGTGTGCCCACGTTTTCCAATTTACATGCAGCAACTTAGCATCTATTCTGCTTATTTTTCTCTGCACAATGCACACGTCAGGTGGTCCACAGTGAGTCACAAAGCAGCATCTGTTTCTCCTGCTCTCAGCAGTAATGAGCACCATTTTAACTCACTACAGAAAGCTCATCTGATGCTCTTGCCAG